GGGCCACCGCTGAGAAGGCCCTGTCTCTCATCCTCTCCAAACGCATCTGCGAGGAAGGCGGGAGCGAGAGCAGGGCCTCCCCAGAAGGTCTTAACATCCTAGATGGTTCATAAGGAGAGATACGTTTGGATAGGTAAATTAGACCGAAACCGTTTAGGGCTTTATAGGCTAAAGCCAGCACTTTGAATTGTGCCCGGAAGCAAATTGGCAGCCATTGGAGCTGGCGCAGCAGAGGAGCTGTATGCTCCCTGTTAGCAACCTGGCTGCCACCCGTTGGACCATCTGCAGCTTCCGAACAGTCTTCAAAGGCAGCCCCACGTAGAGGGCATTGCAGTCGTCTATACGGGATGTAACCAGAGCGTGGACTACCATGGCCAAGTCAGACTTCCTAAGGTACGGGCGCAGCTGGCACACAAGTTTTAACTGTGTAAATGCTGCCCTGGTCACCACCGAGACCTGGGGTTCCAGGCTCAGTGATGAATCCAGGATCACACCCAAGCTGTGAACCTGCACCTTCAGGGTGAGTGTAACCCCATCTAGAACAGGCTGTAACCCTATGCCCTGTTCGGCCTTATGACTGACCAGGAGTCAGTCTTGTCTGGATTTAATTTCAATTTGTCTGCCCTCATCCAGACCATCACAGCTGCCAAGCAGGACCTGAACAGCATTCTTAGTAGCAGGTGGGAAGGAATGACAGAGTTGGACAACATCTGCGTACAGATGACACCGCACCCCGAAACTCAGGATGATCCTCCCCAGCGGCTTCATGTAGATGTTAAACAACATGGGAGACAGTATTGAGCCATGAGGAACCCCACAAGACAATGGTTGTGGAGTTGAACAGGAGTCCCTCAATAACACCTTCTGGGAACGGTCCTCTAGGAAGGACTGGAACCACTGCAGAGCGGTATCTCCAAGGCCTATTCCTGCAAGGCATCCCAGAAGGATACCGTGGTCAATGGTATTGAAGGCAGCTGAGAGGTCCAGCAGAGGAAGCCACAGGGAGGAGGGAGCAAGCTTGTTTTCTGCTTCCTTGGAGACTAGGACGCGGAACAATGGCTTCAAACTACAAGAGAGGAGATTCCATCTGAACATTAGGAAGAACTTCCTGACTGTGAGAGCCGTTCAGCAGTGGAACTCTCTGCCCCGGAGTGTGGTGGAGGCTCCTTCTTTGGAAACTTTTAAGCAGAGGCTGGATGGCCATTTGTCAGGGGTGATTTGAATGCAGTATTCCTGCTTCTTGGCAGGGGGTTGGACTGGATGGCCCATGAGGTCTCTTCCAACTCTTTGATTCTATGATTCTAACTAACAAGGACACACTCCCCCTGTCTAGCTCCTGGCAAAGATAATTCACTAAGGTGACCAAGGCTGTCTCGGTTCCATGTCCCGGTCTAAATCTGTGTCTTCCAAGAATACCTGGAGTTGTGAGGCCACCACACGTTCCAGGACTTTGCCCAAAAAGGGGAGATTGGAAACAGGCCAATAGTTGTCCAATTGAGTGGGGTCCAGTGATGATTTCTTCAACAGGGGTTTTATCACACCTTGTTTTAAGCTCACTGGATCCTTGCCTTCCCGAAGGGATGCATTCACCACCACCTTCACCCACTCGGCCAATCCCCCTTTAGCCTCCTTTAGAAGCCAGGATGGTCAGGGGTCTAGGATGCATGTGTGGTCACTCTCATTCCTCCAAGTAGCTTGTCCATATCCTCGGGTTTCACCAATTGAAATGAATCCATCAAAACCAGACAAGCAGGTGCTCGTGTTACATCTTCAGAGACTGCCGTTAAAATGGTGTCCAAGCCAGCATGGATCAAAACAACTTTGTTCTCTTCTGTTCTCTTCCAGCGATGTATGGCTAAGGGGAAAGATGTGCCTTTGGCGATTCCTGTATATAGTTTTGTAGTTTTTTAGAAATAGCAATAATTCTTTAAGTGCCACTCCAGAGCTGATTGAAGGCAGCATGCTTCCTTTGTTTTGTGCCTCTTAGCAGACACTCTGGGGTCAATAAACCGACAAGGGTTTGGGGCCCAGCATGCTCCCACTGCACCAGTTCAAAGCAGACAAATCTGGATTTTATATAGTAATGTCGCTGAGGTCCCAGGTCTCCCACGTCCCTTCTACACTGCCACATTATCGAGTTTATTAAATCAGATAAGCCGCATTATCTCATTTGAACCTGATTATGTGAGTCTAGACTGCCATATAATCCAGTTCAAAGCAGACCATCAGTATTTGATATGGCAGTGTGGTAGAAGGGCCCTCAATCGACACTGAGCATTTTATGGACTTCAAAGCCAGGCAACAAAATTTCCACAAAATCAAGTCCTCCGTGAGCATCAGTGATCTGCTGTTTGTGTAAATCCCATCCCAACTTCAAGCTGGTTTTCCATCTGCACACACAGCGAAACCACTTTGAAACTGCATGAAGTGATCCGTGTGGCCATTTTCCTCCCTGGTTCCAGACCAATGTCCTAAAGTGAAAGCCTTCAGAGACACAAATATCTGCTGGTTTAGATCCCAATTTGTGTGTGTGTGTGTGTGCGCGCGTGCATTTCCTGCTCCAAATTGGATGGTAGTTCTACAATTCTGAATCTGGTGGAAAACAGTCATTTGTAGTATTTACAACTCCCAGAAGAGCACAATCCCAAGCAGCAAGGATGAACTGCATTAAATTGAGGGGTGCGCTTGTGGCGCCCCCGCTTACTGCTGAAAATTACCTAGGGCCGGCCCTGGGTACACTATCGCTCTCCTTCCCATGGAGAAGAGTATAGCGGGTGGAACAGACTCCTCAGGACTGCCACACTTTGAGCATTATTGGACTGAGTCTTTTATAGGAATATTCTGTTGATGTAGTCCCAAAGTTCTTGATTTGTGTTGACAAACACAAGGCTTATGTTGACTTCCTTCTTAACTCCAACCACACATCCCTCCATTATTCCATTCATTCCCACACATCATTATATCAAATCCACATTTATCACATCTGCAATGATATTTTTGTGGCATAAGTACCATATATATCAATGTATAAGTCGAAGTCAGGTTTTAATGTGATCTGTGGTTAGGTCAAGGGTCATTGTTTGGAGGGCCAGCACTATTTTCCCATCCAGGTCAGAAACAGTGACATGGTGTAAAGTTTACAAGAGTACAGTATTTTTTTTAGGTCCTCCCATGGTAGGTTAAGCTCTCATCTTTTACCTTTCTACTCAGAAAAAGGGGTGGTTCCTTTTTTAAGAAGGGCTACATTGGACTATAGATAAGTTGATCCAGTTGTCTTGGATATATTTTTGTCTAAAACTTTGGATTGGAAATTGGACTAAAATTTCTAGACTTATCTATGAGTATATACAGTAATAAGAGGGAAAGTTATTTTAGGTTTTCCTGGGTTGCAGACAGGTTTGCTCTTATAGTGTTAACAGTTCTCAACATTGTAGAACTAACTGCTTAATTATTTTTTGTGTAGGCTGCATGTTGTGTGCATGCATGTTTCATGGTTCTTGCCTGCTGATCAGCTCTGCTAGGAGCGTTCATTTTATTCTATCTCTATATTCATACTACTTCTCTGCATTCAATATGATTCAAACTTTCACAGTCAAACTAGACCAAAGTTATTGTTGGATTTGTTTGTTTTGCAGAAGTCTTCACCCCAAGTGGTGAATTATTTCTTTTTGTCATAACACACGTGTGTGTTCCCCCATTTCTTGCCTTTACAGTACTTTGTTTGTGATTGGTCTTTAAAAGGTAAACACACGTTTAATTTGGAAATCTGATTACTGAGGCAAATATCTCTAACCCTGTGTTAATTTTCGGGAATAAGAAATATCTTGTGGGTTAAGCATGGTCATATAACACGCTGCAGAATTACCCACTTTCGAAGAAAGGTTCCTGTTTTTTCTCTGGAGGTGTCATTTCCTTCTAAACAATGAGGCACAGAACCTTGGAGTATTTGCTTCTCTAAACCAAGTAACTCTCGACTGTTCCCTGCTTCAAAGATAAGCTATTTAAAAATCAATGTGAATTATGCCTCCAAATGTAATCACATTTGAAGAGAAATGTATGCCTCGGTAATCAGATTGCTGGGAGATACTGAACTTTTACAGAGAAAGACAACTTTGCCCTATTGCTTACAAAACATTTATAGCAGTGGGATATTGTCAGGGTTGTAAAAAAAAACTTTAGAGTCACCTTTTTAAGCATTTCACCTCAGAGTAAGAATTGGGCCAGGATATCTGTGTCCATAAATGTATTCCATGAGCAAATAATGATAGATAAAATTAGCAAACATCTGGAAGAGGAACATATTTCAAAGATATTCTGGTCTGAATATATGAAGAACTGTATGGAGACTATGATTGGTAGCTGTTCTTAATAAACAGTTAGCGAGTCTTGCCTGCCTAAAATGCAAAACAGATGTATTTTTGTTCTTTTCAACTGACTTTGATGAATAAACTATAAATGACGTCATATCCCAGCTATTGGATGTCTTGAGTCTGGCTGAGAAATCCTTTAGAATTAAAAAAAAGTTTCCATTGTAGACGCTGAAGAGAACAAAGTGAATTCCATTGCACTTCTCCTAGAGCAAATAGAAGCAAGTTCAGACACTCAGTCCGTTCTTACTCCAAACATAAGTGTTATTATTTACTGCAAGATCAGTTTTTCTGAGGCACAAAATTTTTACCCCTTCCTTTTCAATAAGAGGTTAAAAAATTTCCAGGAGGAAGAAAAATATTTTCTTTATAGCTCAGTATCTGGAGACCATTTAATATTGTTAGTTGATTTAAAATCAGCACTACCCTCCTTTGGGTTATTTATTTATTTATGCATGTATTTATTTTTAATCTGGTATTGTCTCCCCTATCTTCTGGAAGATTAACCTGGCAGTCACTTTTGCTGTGTACCTCATGTGTCAGGAAGTCAGCTCTTTCCCTCCGGGTGTTTCATCCATAAACAAGCATCAGCTTTTGCTTCTTTACGGAATCTCTTTGGAATTTAACTTTCAGATACAAATACTTGGAGAAATTGGCAGCTGAAGAATATGAGAAGGAACTGAGAAGTCGAAGTTTATGTAGGGGAAGAAGTGACCTGTCCTTGAATTTGGGCTCTGCTTCACCCATCACTTCTCCCAGTCCCCAGTGTGCAAGTCCAGCTTCAACAGATTCTCAGGACGAACTAAAGACTCCTGCGACAATTTTCAAAACACCTCAAACTCCAGAAGGTAAGTGCCAGTGAACTCTGAAAACAAAATGTGTGTCTAATTATTGCTTGCAAATTAAGCAGATGCTTTGTTAAAGACATCAGGTTGTTATTGACTAATATTTTCTCTCTTATATATCTTATGAATGAATTGTGCAGTTATGGACCTTATAAAGACTTAAAGATTTTCTTCTAATTTCATGTAGTTGTTAAAAGAAAAGTAAGATATAGTGACATCAAGCAGATGCTATCATGAAGGGAAATGTTTTCAATGGGTATAATCCAATAGGATAGGCAGTCTCTGAGTACCAGTTGCTGGGAAACATGAGCATTTTGCTTATGTGCTGCTTATGATTTAACAATGGCAATTCAGGGTCAGATCAGAATGCTATGCTAGATAACTCTTTGGTCTCATCTAGTCCAGCTCTAATCTTATTATAATTTTTGTATAGCTGTGCTTAAAAAATGCCCTGAAAATACTAGATTCATGTGCTCCAACTAAAATAAAGTATTTTTAAGTTCCATTGGATTGATTCTGAATCTTAAGCATGTGCTTAAATTGCTTCCCCTGAAATCAGTGGGACGTATTAATTTTGGCTAGTTTCAGTCTTGTAACAGCATGTATCATATACTTTCATGTTGAGAATAATTCAGCAAACTTTGTGTGAACATCTGACAACCTGGAAGGACATGTTGCAACTCCACACTCTCATGACCCATGCATGATGAATAAAAATCTTCTTTAGGTAATTTCAAAATTGGTTTCTTATATGGGGAGCTTCTTCACAGTTGGAAAAGGGAGGCAAGAAGAAGGAATATGACCAGGGTCTAAATCACTGCATAGCCATGGAAACCCATTGGATGACCCCAGGAAAGTCACATTCTCTCAGCCTCTGAAGATAGCAAAGTCAAGCCCTCTTTGAACAAACCATGCCCAGCAAAACCCATGATAGGGTCACCATGAGTCACAAACAACTTCAAGAGACACAACAATCAAAACAACTTTGGAAGAAGTCAGATACCAGGGTTGATCTTTCATATCTGACTTCTCGGCTTGGCGGGAAAAAACAATAGAAATCTATACTTCTGGCATATCATACAATTGTTAAAATGTGGGGAAACTAGTAATAGTTTGTGGTCAACTATGTTAAACTACCTGGAAAGGTATAGAAAGCATGATGTAGCATCTCAGATTTAGCAGTATTAATTTATGTATACCCCAGTTTTATTCTTACAGGCGGAAAGCTTTAATGGCTCTTCATCATCCCTATAGTGACAACAAAGTCCTATGGGCTTGGTCAGGCTAAGAAGGGCTGATGGGCTCATGGGTCTGACATGCCTCTCCCAAGTCCTAGTTCATTACTAATTCCTATAAAAATACGTATTTTCATGGATTTCAAGGCCAAGTTAAGCACATGTTTAAATCTTTCCTGTTGAGATCTGAAGCACATAAAAGTACCTGCTTTGGGCTTGATTGAATCAATTAGTATCTCATAGTGTTGCTTTGGAAATCTGCAAATGCAAAAAGAGTTAGGTAACATACATTGATGATTTCTGTACTTGAGTCTCTTAACATCCCCCCTCGGGGGTTGAGAAGGGCGGGATAAAAATGCTGTAAATAAATAAATAAATTTCTTATGGAGGAACAGTTTCTCATAGTATTCCTGCATTATGATCCCTAAACATTTCTGGAGCTAGTGCATGTTCACGACCGGGTTTCACTATCATGTACTTTGGCTTGATGCTGCCTCTGTGACTTGAATAAGCTGTTATTGCTTGATGTTGGTTTGTTTGCTTTTATTGCTTGAAGCATGCTGTTAAAAAAATAACTTCCATTTGGAAAAAGAATGAGTATTATAATCTGACATTGGATGTACTGGTGTCAAACTTCATTTTCGTTTGCATGGTTTCTTCTCAGCACTACTATTTTTTTCCTGAGTATCAGATTCCTAGCAGAGACTGTGGTATCTGCAAAATCGCTTTTATTCAGAAATATTCAGAATGGCAGTTATTCAAACCCAGCAGTGCCCGGCATTGCAAACTCATTTTTTTCTCCTTACCATTAGGATTTTTCAAACCTCTGCATAGAGAGCAACTATCTCTTTTATGGCAATTATTTTACCATATGTCTGTAGGAAGTATTCCAAACATTACATTATAAAATGAAATACTTTGGTATGTGTGGGGAATAGATCTATAACAGTAAATATACCCACTGATTGAGATGGGGAAGTGCTTTCAGCAGACAGCAGGTGTTTTGGTTTTTGCCAGAAGAGCACCTGATAATAATTAGCAAGTTTGTGATGTTGTTGAACTTGCCGGTAGTCTCAGCTTACACTTATGCTTAGATGGCTTACCTATATAAATAAACATGTAATGTTCATTTGTGGGATTAACATAACTCAAAAACCCCTGGATGAATTGACACCAAATTTGGGCACAAAACACCTATCAGGCCAACAACTGACCATTACTCATAAAAACACTGGAAACACACAGTGGCAGGGACTTAAAAAGCCAAAAAAAGCTAAAAGATGCAACAACGCATGTGCAAAAATGATCCACCCTGGCAAACAAAGCACACAATAGCATATCCACACTCTCTTCTGGACTACAGCTCCCAACATCTCCTAGACCAGGCCTTTTAAGAGAGGAAGATGATCTAAATGCAATGCTTCCAAGCTGCAAGCTTTCTTCTCCTTGAATTTCTTTGAGAGCATCCCAATCCCTGTATATTTCCAATTTCCTATTCCTGGACTGCAACTTTCAGCAATCGTCTAGACAGATAGATTATTGGGGGGGGGGGGTTGATGGATCAGGAGAACTGCTGGGAGTTGCAGTCCAGGAATTGGTAGAGAAGGAAGAAAAGGGAGAAAGGGAAAGAAAAGGGGGGGGGGGATGGAAGGGAAGAAGAAGAGAAGGAAGAAAGGAAAGAAAAAAATGGAAGGGAAGAGGGAGGGAAGGAAGTAGAGAAAGAAAGAAGAGAAAGAGGGAGGGAGGGAGGGTTAGCCACAGCAATGCGTGGTGAGTACAGGTAGTTCAATATAAAGAAATAGGAGGAAACTGTAATCATTATAGAATTGCAATTCTCTTTAGAAATCACAGGATGGCTTGGCAGTGAAGTATGAGAAGAAATAAACAGACCTAAACTAGAAAATAAGATCAAACTTCTTCTGGTGTTGGTGTAGCTGTTAATGTTGTTCCATACAAAGAGATTCAATTCCCCCCCTTAGTTCACCTCGCAGCAGACTTTCCCACCATTAACCTGTTGAAAGCAATTAATTACTATATGAAATCTTCAGATACTTTATCAAGAGCACATTCAAACTACAGGAGAGGAGATTCCATCTGAACACGAGGAAGAACTTCCTGACTGTGAGAGCCGTTCAACAGTGGAACTCTCTGCCCCAGAGTGTGGTGGAGGCTCCTTCTTTGGAAGCTTTTAAACAGAGGCTGGATGGCCATCTGTCAGGGGTGATTTGAATGCAACATTCCTGCTTCTTGGCAGGGGGTTGGACTGGATGGCCCATGAGGTCTCTTCCAACTCTTTGATTCTATGATTCTATATATGGCTACTCAGAAATAATTCCCATTGAATTTATTCTGAGTAGATTTGCATAGGATTCATAATGTAAAATTCTGTCAGATTAGTTGTTTAAAATAGTATATTCCAAAATATTCACATGATCAAATCCACACATAACACATAATACATCAGTTTAGATTAAAATGTACATAATAATAGTCATGTCTATACTTATGAAATATAGCTTCTTCTTACTAAAATAATTTGTGAAGTTTTTCAGCAAAGATAAGACTGAATTTAAAGTTCAGGTATCTTGAAAAGTATGAACCAGAACTGAGATGGTTCCAGCAGATTAAAATAATGGAAATTATGTGTACAACGAGCAGAGAGAACTTTGGAAAATATCAGCTCTTTTCATAGGAACCAGCTGAATGGATTCATCCCAATCTGATGAAACCCAGTTTTGAATTTCCTGTGGAAGTTTACGAACAGGCCATTAAGGTGAATGCTTTTCTACCAGTGTTGCTGGCCCAAAATCTCCCTCTTCCCTAGTTTTTTAGTCAGACTGTTTAATGAGAGGCTATTGTGACTTATCGGAGGAAGCTGTACAAGGGGCAATGAATGAAACTTCTTTGTTTTTCTCCCAGCAACATTTCAGTGGTGGCTGCCATGTTGCTTTACATTCATTCCCATTTTTTCCTCACATTGGCCTTTTCCCCCATAGACTTCTTTGGAGTAGGGCAGTACATAAAACAAAAAAGTGGCTGCCCTCTAGTCAAATCTATAGTGATGGCTGAGTCTGGCAAAAACACAAGTAAAATCAGTGTTCAAAATGCTGATTCCAACTGCATTTACCAGTCACATGGGGAGCCAAATCCCTGCCCCCAGACGGCACCAGGGGAGATATCTGGCCACTGGTCCCCTGCCCTCCATTTCGCTCCTAAAACATAAACATCTTCTTTTTGTCACACCAACATATAGGTTGCAACCCCACATTCTCAAGACCCATGCATGATGATTGAAAAGCTTCTCTAGGCAATTTCAAAATTGGTTTCTTATATGGGGAGCTACTTCAAAGGTGGAGAAGGAAGGCAAGAGAAGCCTCAGACTTGAGGCGTTTACAATATGTTTGGGAGCGAAACGGGGGAAGGGGTGTGGCACCGCCATCCTTCCTCTCCCAAGCTACCTGAGTCCACATAGGTGGGATGGTTGTGGGGACTGCCCACCGGATCGTCATATCCCAAGAGGCAGTCTTCACAGGGGCCATACCCTGTATTATTTCTATGTTTATTCCAGTTTAAATTGCATTAGCCTGGTACATTGTTTGGATGCCCTGGGCTAATGTGCCCCCTACACCACATTAAAGGGCAATGTAGATGAGACCTCAGCACTGGAAAGACAAAACCACAGAAAATGGAAAGCAGATTGGCAATTTTGCCTTGACATTCTAATCAACATTTCAAATTTGAGTTGTATACTGGAGCTGTGAAAGTGTAGCCCAGCTGTAGCCTGGCCAAAGGGTTCAACACACACACACAAACTTTCTTGCCTTCCTGTGAACGCACAAAATTTTTTTAGTGTTCTCAAGGGATTAAAAAAAAAAACAATGAAGAACGCAGAAACACTTGTCGATTTTTCCACCTCATTTCCAAGCACCAAGCATTTAAAAACACACTCACACCAAACTTAACCACAAGCCTGATATGATTCAATGAGATTCAGTGTGAAATGGAGCAAAAATCTACTATGTACTGAAAGATTTCATAATCTGAATTTGCTTAAACTTCCATTTGCTGACATTACAAGTATAGCATATCTGAACATGAAGGTTCCATTCAGTTTTTGTGTGCACTAGCCACCTCTTGTGTATGAATGTATATACCAACAACTGTTTTTGCGGTCCTTTCTGGGTCAGTGCTGCTATTTTTTACCACGTGATCCAAGCATGGCACAAAATATACCACTTTTCCTTTAGGTTTGCTGATATATCACTGAAATGTTATGATCCGACGACAAAAACCCTTTAAATAAGACACATATGTTTCAAAACAAGGTACATGTGTGCCTTTTGTTAAAATAGAAGTGTCTTGTTTAAAAGACTTTGTCTAATTCTAGATCACTGCATTTTTACAATATAGTGAGTGGGCATCCCTTAGTGAGATCACACCACATGTGGCAGGCTTCAGACATTTATTGGTTGTAATTCATTTATGAAAACAAGTTTCCTGTTGTCATACAGTTCCACTGAAACAGTGCCCTAGTGCAGGTTCACTTCTTTTCAGTTCAGATGAGCTACCAAAAGGCTTCTACAGTGCAAATGACTACATAGAACCTTAAAGTGATACTGTGGAACCATTTTTTTTATTTAAAAAAACGTATTTCACTAGGGAATTTTCATTTTCCTCTATACAATAATACTTAGAATAATAGATTCATAGAAACATAAGAGTTCACAAGAACCATCCAATCCAACCCCCAGCATACAGGAATACATGTTTAAATTTTATTCCACTCTCATTTTCTTATATGAATGTTCATTTGAAAACACCAATTAGGTATATAGATCCATGCAGTGTCCATTGCTACACCACATATGTTTTAAAAACAAAACCGCCAGGACTTAAGAATAAAACTGGCAAAAGTCATAATTTATCCAAAAGATGATTTCAGGACTTTATTAACGTGCTTGTTTCCCTTTCTGTCACTTTGCATGATTATGTCTGTTTCTGTGAGCTGTCAGTTCTTTTGATGGCTTCAATTTTCTTGGTGGCACAAAATAAAATCATTGCACGTGCAAAACTTATGATGAATATTATGATGAAGATGAACTGAATTTGGCGAAGTGAAGAGGATGACATCAGTTGCCTCATCCACAATGTGGAACAAAAATAATTCAAAAAGGGAAGTATCAAGAAGTAATTCAAAAAGGGAGGTATCAAGAAATCAGATGCCAGCCAATTTAGAGACAAATGCCACACGTTTGGAAGCTTAATAGTGTCATATAACAAATGGGTGTTTTATATGGCTGTTTTGAAATAAACAGGCATGAAGAAAGGATATTCTATTAGTGAAGTGAATGAAGCTGTACTTTCTGAGCTATTCCATTTGCAATACAAAAGCCAGCATGTTCATATATGTGTAAATATCACATCTCAACTGAAAATCGTCAATTACTATTTTAAAAAATAGCAGACAAAGGTTATTTTGTGCTCTTTCCTGTTATCACTTTTAATCTTTCTCATTGAACATTACTCTCTTAGAATCACTGTTAACCTTTAAGTATCTGGATGGGCTGGTCAGATATGTATACCTATATTGTTGAAATCTGAGATATCTCAATGCAAGAATCACAGTTTTGCTAAACCTGATTCAGACAAGGGATGGCAGATTACACAAACAGATGAATCTTCTATGCTATGCTTCTTTATTCATTTTCTTGGACCTACGTGCCACCTTATTTTCTATGTGGAACTCATGGCATCTTAGTTTAAACAATCAAAGCAGCCATCTTGTACATAAGTAACCACAACAATCAGAGGTGGTTAATACCTTTTTTGGCATCATGTTCATGTTACAAAGATGGCACATAAATGGAATGAGCTTTTGAGTTCTCTCAAATTCTTCATCAGGCATAATGGAACGAAAGTAATTTAAAAAGGGAAGTATCAAGAAATCAGGCCTAGTGAATTGGCTGTTGTATTTCTCTGCAGTTGCAAGATCGTTCCTGCAGGCTCAGCAAAGAGAAAATATGCAAAATTATTTGCTTACACCTCCTTAGGATGCAAAGTTATGATTTCCCTCAAGCCCAGCTGACCAGAACATCCCAATGCCTTTTAAAAAACTTATGGACGTTAGTCTCACACCAGTCCCACTTTTTAAACCTGCTTTTCGTTTTGCTCACCTGAAGAAAGGAAAGATAATAAAATTCAACTGACTGTGAAAGGCACAAAACTTTATTAAGTGAATCTTTCTCCATTATTCTTTTCACTAGTGAGTGCCAGTGAACCTGAATGTGAACCAGAACCTCAGCCAGAGGCAGAAAACAAAACAGAGCAGAAAGATGAGGCAGAGTTCGAACAGGGAACAGAAACTCCCCAAGATGTAGAGGTTGCAATGGTGGAGCCAGAGAGTGAAGTGGAGCAAGGACCAGAGCAAGAAACAGAAGAAGGTGCAATACTCAGTGAAAAAGAGAGGCAGAATGAAGATGTGAACGAAAAAGACAACTGCTCTGCATCAAGCATATCCTCGGCAAGCAGCACTTTAGAAAGGGAGGAAAGGGAGGAAAAAATAACCAGCAACAGTACAGCTGGTAAAGTGAAGCTTTTTTATCCCCATAACAGTTGACCATTTTATCGTTTTAAAAAAGCAGCTTCATTACCATATGTCGTAAGAAAACAAACCACTGGGTCTATTTTGTCTTTGGTGTGTCCTCCATTAGGACTTCATTTCTCAAATATTCTGGTAATTAATTAGAGGATTTTAGTGCAAACTCACAGAAGAAGTAGGGATTTATTAATTTGTATATTTCTTTATGTGTCTGTTTAATCTGTCTGTTTAATCAGTTAGTTATATTTACACACCCAGCCTTTCTGCAAATGACCTCAAAGTAGTGTCCATGGCTCTCTTCTTGTACATAGTATCCTCACTACAACCTTGGGAAGTAGGTCAGGTTATTAGAAAGTGATTGACCGAAGACGACACAATAAGCTTCAAAAGCTTTGTTGGCACTCGTGTCTCACAACTCCAAGTCCAACCTTCTATTCACTGCACCACACTAAATTGTTATTCTTATTCTGATAGTTTTCTTTAAGTTTTCCATTTTTAAGGTAACCTGTCCCAGCATAAAAAGGAAAAAATGGGGTTAGTGTAGCAATACCGTTAAGTGGTATTAATTGTTAGAATCATATTGTTGCAATCATCACAATTCATATTTCACCACTCTTTTTCAATAGAAATGCAGAATGAAAATAGGATTTTCAAAGATGAAAACCACCTTCTGATTCCCGTGTCACTGAAAATCTGCATATTTGGAAAGCATGGAATATTCAGAAAAAAATGCACACACATTATAAAGTTTTCAGACAAGTAAAATTTTCTAAATTATTTGATACATGTCTAGATGCTATCATGATATAGTATTTATTTTATTTTATTTATTTACTGTATTTGTATACCGCCTTTCTCAGCCCTTACACAGGTCCCTGCCTAAGTCATAGACCTTCATTGCATAACAGGGAAGGAGACTGTTTACTCTTGAGGTTCATCATAGTATATTTTCAGGGTGAAAATCTGTATGGGGGGCAATTTTCCACCCCCAATTCTCCTGCAAGTATTACTCCCAATACCTCCCTTTCCCATTGTGTAACTTTCTGTGATTGCTATGGAGCTAAATTGAGGCATTTGAGTGGATGGGGAGTTAGAATCATAGAATCATAGCATTGGAAGAGACCTCATGGGCCATCCAGTCCAACCCCCTGCCAAGAAGCAGGAAAATTCCATTCAAAGCACTCCCTGACAGATGGCCATCCAGCCTCTGTTTAAAAGCTTCCAAAGAAGGAGCCTCCACCACGCTCCGGGGCAGAGAGTTCCACTGCTGAATGGCTTTCGCAGTCAGAAAGTTCTTTCTAATGTTCAGATGGAATCTCCTTTCTTGTAGTTTGAAGCCATTGTTCCTTGTCCTAGTCTCCAGGGCAGCAGAAAACAAGCTTGCTCCCTCCTCCCTATGACTTCCTCTCACATATTTATACATGGCTATCATGTCTCCTCTCCGCCTTCTCTGCTTCAGGGTAACATGCCCAGCTCTTTAAGCCGCTCCTCATAGGACTTGTTCTCCAGACCCTTGATCATTTTGGTCGCCCTCCTCTGGACACATTCCAGCTTGTCGATACCTCTCTTCAATTGGACACAATATTTCTGATGTGATTTAACCAAGGCAGAATAGAGGGGTAGCATGACTTCCCTGGATCTAGACACTATGCTCTTATTGCTGCAGGCCAAAATCCCATTAGCTTTTTTTGCCACTGCATCACATTGTTGGCTCATGTTTAACTTGTTGTCCATGAGGACCCCAAGATCTTTTTCACACATACTGCTCTCGAGGCATGAGTCCCCCATTCTGTATCTTTGCAATTCATTTTTTCTGCCTAAGTGGAGTATCTTGCATTTGTCACTGTTGCTTCATTTTGTTAGTTTTGCCCATTTCTCTAATTTGTTAAGATCGTTTTGAATTCTGCTCCTGTCCTCTGGAGTATTGGCTATCCCTCCCAATTTGGTGTGGTCTGAAAACTTGTATGATCATGCCTTCTAACCCTTCGTCTAACTCACTAATAAAGATGATGAACAGGACCGGGCCCAGGGCGAAACCCTGCGGCACTCCGCTCGTCACTTCTTTCCAGGATGAAGAGGAAGCATTGGTGAGCACCCTCTGGGTTCGTCCATTTAACCAATTACAGATCCACCTCACCGTAGTTTTGCCTAGCCCACATTGGACTAGTTTCCTTGCCAGAAGGTCATGGGGGACCTTGTCGAAGGCCTTACTGAAATCCAGGTACGCTACATCCACGGCATTCCCCGCATCTACCCAGCTTGTAACTCTATTGAAAAAAGAGATCAGATTAGTCTGGCATGACTTGTTTTTGATAAATCCATGTTGACTATTAGCGATGACCGCATTTGTTTCTAAGCATTTGCAGACCACTTCCTTAACAATCTTTTCCAGAATCTTGCCTGGTACTCTTGGGTGTAGTTGATCTGGCCCTGGGGACCTGAACTCGTTTAGAGTGGCCAGGTATTCCTGGATGACTTGTTTCTCAATTTGTGGTTGAATGTCCTCTAATCTCTCATCCGCTCCATCTTGCTGAAGTTGAAGATGACTTTCTTTTTGTGAGAAGACCGGGGCAAAGAAGGCATTAAGTAGTTCTGCCTTTTCCCTATCCCCTATCAGCATTGCCCCATCTTCTCCTCGAAAAGGGGACCCCATCACCTCCTTGTTCTTCCTTTTTCTACTGACATAAGAAAAGAAGCCCTTTTTATTGTTTTTATTGTCCCTGGCAAGCCTGTGCTCATTTTGTGCTTTAGCCTTGTGGACCTTTTCCCTACAGGAGTTGGCTATTTGTTTGAATTTGTCTTTGGTGAGTTCTTGAGAGTTGAGGAAAACTTTTTTGAATGTTTGTGTACAGGCATTTGGAAAACTTCTGGAATAACATTGAGGCAAAAAATTTAAATTGGAGTTTTAATGTATAAAAGTGAGTCTTTTGTCCATATTTCCTCTACACTTGATGTGTTAATTTCATCATAGTTTCATATGCAATTGCTCACTGGCTTTCATGTGTATATGGGTCTTTGCACCATAATAAAATGTTGAATTGAACTGTATACTACCAAATTCAATGTCTTGGACTATATTTGCAGGTAGCAGTAAACCATAGTTTAGGATTGTGTCACAAACAGGAATAAATTGCACATAGTATCAGACTTTCTTCTCTCCCTACCCCTTGTGACCACTAGGAAGAATAAGTCAGGCTTCAGTTTAACTGATTTCTGCCCTGTCATTATGTACAAATCAAGTATTGGGGTCTAGAATATACTGTATTCCATTTTATTAAATAAACAATGTTTAGCAAATGGTCTGTTTAGCAAATGTGTGTGTATGTGTATGTGTGTCTATGTGTGTGTATGTATATATATATGTATTAGGGCTGGGCAACCACTGAAAAATTTGTTTCTAAACTCGATTCGTTTTTAGGGGGTTTTTGCGTTTTATTTTTTAAAAGAATTCCGAAATTTTTCTTTAAAAATGTTCGATATTTACGAAATTTCGGAAAGTACGAAACAATTTTGAAACAATAACGAATCGATTCGTTAATGGTGGACGCAATTGCGCAATACGCTAGAAAACCCTCCAAATGGGACAGGGGGAACTTCTGAAGCTTCCCTCTCCCTCTGTTGTTGACTGTTGGTGTGATAATTTATTTTTTATCACTGATAAAACAAACAACAACCATAAAACTTGCACCAGACATACGGAAATAATAACGAAACAATTACAAAACAATTACGAAACAATTACGAAATAAATTTTAAAAATTCGTTTCGATTTTTAGTGGCTCCTGAATGGTTCAATATCGCTTCGTTATAAAGAAAAATAACGAATTAATAACGAATTATGAAATTAACGAACGAAACCGCCCAGCCCTAATATGTATGTACATGGTACTGAGACAGCCTTGGTCGCCTTAGTGGATGATCTGCGCCGGGAACTACACAGGGGGAGTGTGTCCCTGTTGGTTCTGCTGGACCTCTCAGCAGCCTTCGATACCGTCTACCATGGTATCCTTTTGGGACGCCTCGAAGGAATGGGCCTTGGAGGTACTGTTCTGCAGTGGCTCCGGTCCTTCCTAGAGGGTCGTTCCCAGAAGGTGTTGTTGGGACATTCCTGCTCTACCTCACAACCATTGTCTTGTGGGGTCCCACAGGGGTCAATACTATCTCCCATGTTATTTAACATCTACATGAAGCCATCCGGAGTTTCAGGGTGCGGTGTAACCTGTATGCAGATGACGTCCAACTCTGTCACTCCTTTCCACCTGCTACTAAGGAGGCTGTCCAGGTCCTGAACCGGTGCTTGGCCGCTGTGACGGTCTGGATGAGGGCGAACAAATTGAAATTGAATCCAGACAAGACAGAGGTCCTCCTGGTCAGTCGAAAGGCCGAACAGGGGATAGGGTTACAACCTGTGTTGGATCGTTGTAACCATCCCATGTACACTCCCCCTGAAGACGCAAGTTCGCAGTTGGGGAGTAATCCTGGACTCATCACTGAGCCTGGAACCCCAGGTCTCAGTGGTGGCCAGGAGAGCTTTTGCACAACTAAAACTTGTGCGCCAGCTAAAACTTGGGAAGTCTGACTTGGCCACGGTGGTCCATTTCTCCCTTTTTCCACTTCTTGTGCATGTCTCTTTTGTGTTTTAGTACAGTTAGAAGTTCTTTGGACATCCATTCTGGCTTCTTTGCGCTTGTCCTATTTTTTCTCTTTGTTAGCACAGTTTGCAATTGTGCCTTGAGTATTTCACTCTTGAGAAATTCCCATCCATCTGTAACTCCCTTATCTTTTAGTATCTGTGTCCAAGGAATGATGCTCAGCATTTCCTTCATTGATAACAAAGTGGAAAGAAATGAGAATATCAAACTTAACACAACATGTAAGGCATATCATCCTAAATTATGGTTTCCCATTACATACAAATTCTTACTTTTGCTTAGGGCATTTCTACACTGACACTATAATGTATCTTGGAGCCAGTCTGAGAGA